AAATCACTAGGAATGGATTGTGGCCGCTGATAGCTTAAAAAAATAGCATGTGCATCATGGTCTCATGGTCTTATTCACACAGCTAATGATATTGTGGTGCTCACATGTCAAGGAGGTCGTTGGGCTCCGTGTAATTTCTCGTTTGTCTTCTGAATATGGATAAAAGCTATCTGCGCCTCCATTCTCTGATTCAAACCCTGGCTCTAACAATGATAGTAATGTAGAAGTAATATTTGCAGATCATTTATTGTTAAGTCATACAGATGTAGAATTGTTTTCCTGATTACTACAACGTTTACATGTCAGATCCCTCATAATTACTGCAGTACAGTTTCTAACTCTCAACAGATGGTCATTTTTCCATTCTCACTGCTTGGTGCTATTAACGTTTTGCGATCAATCTGAATTGCTATAGAAAGGGGTCATTTCACCCCAAATTACTGCAGAATGGCTCATTTAAATATGTGCAAACAGCACTGATGCACAGAGAGGCTGATTGCTCTGCAGCACAGTTTGTGGAGCATTTAACCCTTTGCGTGTGTTTTCTGAATAAGACCGTGTCTTTTTTGACTCATTTGCACAGGTTAAGTGGGCGCAAAAAGGCCTGAATCACGCCCTCAGATGCTGGTTAATGGCCCTGCTAAACATGGACATCAGTTTGGTCATGCTACTGTAACTTCTGACAGTTGCCTGATTTCTCTGCCTTAATAGCCCAAATCCTTGGTAGCTTTGATAAGACCCTCTACTCCGACCAGTACGTCCTCATGTTATCGACTAAAATCTCGCTAAAATCATTCCTTTTTGTCATTTGCTGGTGTGAACTTCCACAGCCTACATTTGTGTCCCCATAATATCCAAAAATATACCGTAACATATCTTTTTCACGTCTACTGCATGCTACTTAACTCCAATGGTGCTGAATGCCACTGTTGGAAACTTAAGAACAGAATTTTAGTGTACAACATCATTTTTAATTCATCTTCACTTGTCCCTTATTTGTGTCAGAAAATACCTTAAGGTTCATCTGATGACTCATGAAATAAGAAATGGATTTACTTCTTCATTCCGGTCTGATCTCCTTAAGTCCTATATCCCATGCTGTGCAGTTATTATGCAAATATCCCTCGGAATATCTTCCCTGTGAGCTCAGACAATCAGACTCTGCTGATGCCTTTTAATCTTAATTTGTTATTAATAACTCATACCTCACATCTATTGCCATTATCCTACAGGCAGGTGGTCTCCGTCTCAATAATCTCCAAACCCTACCCTAAAAGTGCTGCTGACCACAATCACTATATCTTCAGTTCTCAGTCTGTTTTTGTTTCCAACAAGCCTTCAAGCTGTTAGCATCTCCTGTGTGCCTCCCTCCCCATTTCTCTTCCCTGTCCTTTTCACTCAAGCTCCCCTGCGCAGAGAGAAGTCCTGGGACCTTTCTTTCGTTCTTTCTCCTGCCCACTGGTGTCTCATCCTGACGCTGATCTGGAGCTTGGTCCCCGAAGAGATCAAGTCTCTCCTTTTTCTCCCTTCTTCCTAAGCCGACCTACACTGAAGGCTTTTTAGAGACCCCCCCACACATGATGACAAATGAGTTCTGTTCCTACAGTGGGTGAAGAGCGACCATATGAGCAAAAGAGCACACCACACACTAACAGGTTGATTCACCAACAACCAGAGTCCTGACTCTAAAAACTGGAAATCTCACAAAATCTCAAAAACAATCTTCAGCTCGCTTTCCAATTGGCTATTGCTTCGACTGTCCTCAGGGTTCTCCCACACAACAGAATGCCAAATCAAAAATATCAAATTGTAAATAATTCATATTTACCATTTGAAATCGGTGCGGCCATGATGTTCTTCTTACATACTCCTTATTTTTTAATATGTTTTACAATCTACATATCTAAACATTTGTATTATATGCTTTCCAACTTTCTTTTTTTTCCCCTTTTAGTCCTGAGAGTGGGATATTTATTTTGATGCTCTTGATGCTATTTTCTCCATTTTAGGGTCATTTTAGATAGTTTTTCTCTTCTACTTAAGGGGCCCAAGGATAAAGGTTGACGTATGCTATACAAACTATAAAGCCACCTGAGGCAAAATTTACAATGGAAATATCTGTCTCGTAAATGGTAAATCAAACGGCCACAAAGAGTGTAACTTACACCAATAACACCACATGTTTACCGATATGAAGCTAAATGCAGGCACACACATGGTCTATAATGACTGGCTCATCTAATATTCATGGTGCCATTGTAAGAATACATCGGTCTACATTAGAGACTCCCCTGCTCCCACTCGGGTTAATGAAATTCCATCTCTGGCTGACCGTCAGTGTAGCGTGGAGCTGTATGGAGGAAAATTAACCCCAACGGAGCCTTTTTCTCTCCTTCCCGATCCATTTGGCCTCCCTCTCATTTGTATCAATTAGGCGGCAAACAGGATTACTCGGGCTGCTTGTGCGGTGAATGTTGAAAATGTTTGTACTTCAGGGATGCCGAGAGAAAAAAATAAATGTAAGAAACAAGCAGAGGTGGATGCAGAAACAACTGGGCCTCAGGTCTCCAAGGTCCTTTTATTTCGGTTGAATTTACATTCTGCAGAGCATCGACACAAACAGAATTAAAGGCTCAAACAGTGACGGATAGACTTATTTATGATTTTGATTTTTACTTTTATTGATCCTCGGAAGGGGAAATTTCAGTTTATACACTCTGTAAGTCATGCAACACACACATAGGCTGAAATATACACATGCACAAACAGGATCCTATGGACATGCACTAATGGAGAGATGCCAGAGTGAGGGAGCTGCACACAGCGGGTGCTACTGAGCTGATGGTGGGGGGGCGGGGGGGATCAGTGCCTTGTTCAAGGGCACCTCGGCACTGCTCAGGAAGTTATCTGGCACCTCTCCAGCTACCAGACCAACTTCCAGATTTGGTCCCCAACCCAAGTCCCTACAGACTGAGCTACTGCCGCCCCATGGTTTACTAATATACATGTTGACAGCTCTAAACATGCATGCAGGTTTATTATATTAAAGCAAAACACTATTAATTTTACACATATACACACACTGTAAAGTTGTATCACAGCTTTGATGACATCAAATGATACATCACGAGAAATGGTGGTAACACCAAGAAGAACAAGACTGTCTGAAAATCTCAGTAGCTTTTTTTTTTAAAAACAGAGAAATCAATCACAGGTCTGACTGGTGAAATAAATAGAAAATACTGATTAACTCACAAACACCTTCCTCCAGTCCTAACTGGTGTGTTAACCTCCAGTATTATGTCGTTTTACAGCCACAGCAATGCAAGCCTTCTCATGCATTAATCCTGCTGCATTAGGACTAACAGCAACATGCCCTTTGTGAGTTGACTTATTTAACAAGGTCTAACCTGAAAAATGCTAGCATGAGCCATTTTTAAACGATCTTTCTTTTTTACCTGTTTAACACTCGTGCAGATACAAAAGTAAAAACAACTTTCCTTTTTATGTGATGTACATGTCACAATATAGGTTTCTTTATTAGAACAGGATATAAGATAAGCTCTGACTGCCCTTGTCGTGTTACAGTTTGATATAATGAAACTTGTTTGGATTTAGCTAAGAGGACAAGATCGATAAGGAGAGTCATTGGTGCCATTTTAATTACAGGTAACATAGATATGACTGCACCACTGTGAGGGGGATGATCAAACTGAGCCCTATGCAGCGTATGTGACGTCATTGCTGGCACCAATACTGTAATAAAGTCAGTAATTAAGTCATGATGGAGTATGACCCCTTAGGATGGATAACTGCTTATCAGGGCAAGGGCGAGGTCGCGTCCATAATGAAGCAGCTCCTAATAAAATAACATGTTGCCCTTTAATGACGTAAAAGGTGACGGTGATAATCTATGACCTACACGGATCACCTTCTATATATTAGCTCATGAATCTGATGGTGTGTGTGGGGGGGGGGGGATGACTGTTTGGATGACTTTGGTCCACATGTCCCTTTTAAGGTCAGGGTTAAAGTTAGGGTCTTCACAGATCAATAGAAAGTCCACTGAACACCGTTGTTTAATGTTTAAGCATGCCTATCTCGATTTTAAAGATGCCGACATTGCAAATTGGTGCCATGCAACATGAAGAATTGATTTAAAGTAAATCCACCATCCTTGCAGCCTGATAACCGTCAGCATCAGTTTGTCAGTCCATCCAGGAATTTGCCAAGTCGTAGACGCAACCATTAATTTAAAGATGCCGACATTGCAAATTGGTGCCATGCAACATGAAGAATTGATTTAAAGTAAATCCACCATCCTTGCAGCCTGATAACCGTCAGCATCAGTTTGTCAGTCCATCCAGGAATTTGCCAAGTCGTAGACGCAACCATTAATGCAAATTCAACCATGCAGCAGTGCACATTTTTCCTGTTCTGCATCATGAAATGTTGGCCCTTTAACCACAGCAAAATCCATCTATTGTGGGTCTAAACCACTGTTGTAAACCAGTTTACAGTCCGGATGCATTGACACCTACCTGAGATGGGTGTACAGGCCTTCAGCAGCTGAAAGCAAAAGCTTGTAGTTAGTGTTCATCAGAGAAAACCGTGCGTTAGTCCTGGTGAACGTATCATCAAACTGAACTAGGCACTCGTCAGCCTCATGCAGCTGGAAACAGCTGGGAAGTTAATTCAGACACAGCTCATGGAGATGGTGAATTAGCCACGCTGTTCTTGACCCCGCAGACACAAAGGTATATGGTTTTCTGACATGTCTAAAATGGAGATTAATTGTGAAAACTAAGAAACGATCCTGTAATTAAACTCAAAGTGTCTGCTCCATTCCAGTCTTACCACAAGCTGTCCAATGCACAATCAGGTCAAACTGTCGGAGATCACATTGGCTAAAGGAATATTCAGATGCTGATGCAGAAAAAAAGGAGATAGAATGAGAGCTAATTTGACAACAATCTGAAAAAAGACAGCGAAGCCAAAGGGATACTTGAATGTTTTTTATTTTGAGCATGGAATAGAGAAATAAGACTGCTAAAATGAAAATGTTTATTGGTTGAAGGTGTAGTATCTCTGATTGAGATGTGTGTCTTGTCTGCTGGGTTGATTACATTAATAAAACAACAGTTTATTTGGATAACGTTTGTTTAAGTTCAAGTGTCTGTTTAACTGGACGATTAATCGATTAATTACAAAAATAACAAATAGTTAAAACTGAGTTAAATCATTCTTAGTTGCAGCCCTAAAATCAAGTGAGTGAAGTTAATCTAGTCTTCTTTGGGTCGCTGCACATCATCATCATCATTTCTTAAAGTGTCCAATGGGTAAAAATGCAGGAAATCTCATCTGAACAGTTTTAGCACATAATCAAAAGGTGACGGATAATAATAATGGGCATTTTGTCGCTTCAAAAGAGACTCAACATTGTCGTACACGTGTGCAGACGTTTACATGTGCAACAAATGTGTTCACACTAACACAAATGACGTCAACAAATTCTTTACACATAAGGCTAAAAGTGTTCATCCTCAGAGACACATTTCCACTGATAAACACCAGCATGTCATCTGCTCGATAATAACCATGAATAACTTTATACTGCCACAGAAACACTGAAGACAACAGTACAGAAGCTTTAGAGTGAACTTACAGTACGTCTTTGTCCTTCTCTGCTCACTAAAGCAGATTAACAGGGTTTACCTTGATAATATACCTACAGCCTGGAAATAAAACTTAAGTTCTATGATACACTGATATTACATTATCTTACATGCAGAGCCTCTCTGTCATTAATCTGAAAGCACATTTTAAAAGTTAGGTGTAAGTCTACTAAGCTGTTGAATATCGAAAAAAAAAAAAAAACTATAGAAAAAGCCTTTCATTTAGTAAATATATTAAAACATACAAACACATAAAAAAAAATATTCAGATAAAAAAAATAAAAAGACAGAAAAAAGGAAAAGAAAAATAAGTCTGATGTCCTCCAACATCAAAGCAGTAAAAATGTCTTAAATCTGATTTGTTTTTTATTTAATCAAACTAATTTTCTTCCTGTGTCGAGCATCAGTTTGATTTCATTGATTCTGGTTGTGCTTTTCAGTGTTAATCAAATCCTGGTCAAACTGAACGGAAAGATGCAGACGATCAAACGCAATTTGTAATTTGAGCGTACTATATTAAAAGTATTGCTCATCAACCAGCAAAATGCGGTTGTTGTTCTGTTTGATTAGTTATTGCATCTGTGAGGAGTTCTTATCAGGTTATGAAACAGACTGTTATCATACTGATGCCTCTTTATTACCGAAAACAGCAAATGAGACCATCAAGAAGAAGATTATGAATCCTGTAACCACGGCTACCGGGGGGGGGGGCATATGAATTCCTCCTAGTCACTGAACGAGAGTCATCCCCTCAGTTGAACAAGGACGTTGTTTGTAGAGGAATAATTGCAGAGTGTCATTGTAGTACAATTGCAGGAAAACTGTCAGACTTTCCAAACCGAATGAAATACTTTGTTTGGTACTTCAAAGAAATAAGAACCCAATGACAGTTTGGCTCCTTATCTGAAGGGAAATTAGTCCTACAAACGGCTGCACTTTGGAATTCAACATTTATTAGATCAAGAGTTGCATATTTTACATTTAAAAGAAAGAAGGATTTAACCTTTTTGCCAGAAAACACCACCTACCTACTCATAAAGGGCCAGATCAAAAGAGATAAAGCATACTGCTTTTATTCCAGGGGGCGCCAAAAACATCACAAACTTTAAGATGGACAATGGACGACAGACAATAATCTGCAAATGTCTGCTCCGTAACGCAGATTTCACTTATCACTTGAGAGTTAACCACCAAGATGATGGTGAAAGATTCATCGTCAGGATAACAACCTTCTAATCTTTTGTTTTTCTGAAAGTAAGCAGACATGATCTAAGTGCTTTAAAACTATTGAGTGTTAATATTTAGTGCCAGTATCGCTCAGTTAGTCACGCAGGTGTTCCATATACAGATGCTTTTTCCTGTCTCTCTATAGCTTTCCTGGCCCAAAAGCCCCCCCCCAAACATATATGTGATGTCACAGGTTTAATAATCGCTCTAAGGCATCCTTAATACACGATGATGTAGACATACGCAGCAGGAGTCAATAGACAAATTGAAAAGCACAATCCTCAAGAATATTTTGGTTTCATGAATCAGAGCTCAAACCATTTGGATACTCAACCCCTTTTTTTCTATGAAAAGTTTAAAACATTTATTTTTCGGCTACAGTTACTTGATTGTTGGAATCATTTTAAAGTAGAGCGCCATTCCACTGAATAAGGCATAAATCAAAGTGCAACAAAAAGTGAAGTTGTCTTTGTCTAAATGAGAAGAAGGGTGGTTGGTGAAACTCTAAAAGCTCTACAGGAGAAGCTGCTTGGGATAAAGTTTTAAAGTCAACACTACTTCAGCAACAGTGTCTAATCCGGACTTTCAAAGATCCAAATCGATACCAGTCTGTGAGGTAGTTTGATTTTTCTGACTGAAATATTAAAACACACCAGACGATATATAACCTTTAAAAGCCTCTCAGAAGTCTTCTAAAAGTATCTTGCTCCTGAAGGAATGATGCGGTTTTTAATCATACTGATATTATCATTACATTGCACTAAATAACTGGACTTTGAAACTCTTTAAAACATGTGCTAGATTAATTTAAAATGGCCACCACATCCAACAGTAGCAAATTAAAGACAATAATAATAAATGTGCCCTAAAAATGGTTTCTGAATGGTGTGTGGGTGTGTTCATGTCCACCTGCCAACAGTCACTTTATCACTGCACCAGGTAGGGAGAGAACGCCTCCTCTGTGAGTTTGAGTCCGTTCCGCTGGATGATTTGCTCGATGGCTATGTAGGTTCCCGTGAGGAACCCGATGAGCCCAATCAGGCTGATGACGACGTTCTTGATGGTCATCAGCGGCGAAAGGCCCTCTGTGTGAAACGTGAGGATCTGAAGTAAGGGGGGGAAAATCAGCGCCAGGAAACTGCTGCTGACCGAGCCCACCAATGAGATGACGAGGTCCAGCTCGGGTATCAGGATGGCGAGGGCACCTGGAGGAGGACAAAGAGAGATTTGGTACGTTAACAGAGTAAAAGAAATTCATGTAGCTACGAGTCTTCTTTAGTTTAGGACTGGCTGTGCACATATTTTACAATCCATAAAGTCTGTTTCTGGTATGTTTCTCACACTTTAAAAGGAAACTTTGGAGAAAACGTCCTCTACAGAAGTTAAAGTGGCTTCCAGTAGATGTAAGATTTTAAAAGAGTTACAAAAATCCAAAGCATTCCCTTTTTTAAACAACTAAACAGCATATATTCTCGACATGGTCAGGATAGGCTTGATGCTAAGCTGAGCGGAAATCCTAACAGGACCATGCTATGAAAAAAAGCATTTGCAAGTTTTGGGGGGGTGGGGGGGTTAATAGAAATTTGATCTTGAATTGATTCTAAAGCTCCTAGCCAATACAGCTTCCCCTTTTTTTCTACAGTTTCGTCTACAATAAGGAGTGACAAAATTAACATTTTAACAAAAAGGCATCAGACTCAATGTGCTGGGTTTCTTTATTAGCTGCATTTCTGGATAATGCATTGGGGGAAAAAAAAATTCAACTTCTTACGATGTGTTTTGCAGGCAAATTCAATAATACCATCTCTGAAAAATAACGTATTTTCTGATTTTACCCATCCACTGCCTCTCACACAAGAATGATCACGTGTAATGGAAGAGCTAGATGAGGAAATGACTTTTGTTGTTGGCAAGATAAAAGCGACGGCTTCTTTATTTTTCGTGTTTTCTGCTGCACAAATCTGGTAGGAAAATCAAAACGACAGTAGATAAGGGGGCAGAGGAGGTTATGAAGATGAAATAGAAAAGAAGGACTGATGAGAAATGAGGTGAACTGTAGTAGGTAATAAAGGAAGGACGCTGGAAGGAGAGTAAAAGAGATGGATGAGGTCAGAAGGATGAAAAAGTGGGAGAAAAATAAAAGAGAAAGCAGCAGAGGGCCTCAAGTGACAAAATAAAGCTGTGATTCTGGGGATTATTTTTCACGTGGGCAGGAGCAGTCACCACGCTGCTATGGCCACCAGGCACCTGAGTCACCTTTATCTGTTGCCGTGGGGACAGGAATAAACAGCGATGTGCAGTGATGCTTAGACAAAACAAGCCCCTGCTCCAGTGACAGCATTGTCACGACCGAGGTGTGTGTTGTCGTTCCTGCGAACAAACTCCACAGTGAAGCTCAAACCTTGAAGCAAGCACTTGGGCAGTTGTTACATGCATGGACACACTTGAAAAGAGACGCACTTGCTTTGCTACACAAACACACATATACAAGGAAAGCTCTGTCCATTAGCATCTACCTTTAAGTGAGTGGAGAGGACAAGTCAGATGTTCTTGTTCTCTCAGTACATCGGACAGCGATTACCAGCGACTGATAAAAGACCCTTTGAACAATAATCAATTGCACACTGCTGCATCTTCACAAAATCTGTCAAATTAACCTATGGGGGCGCGGCAAGGTTGAACTTTCATGTGACAAGTAACGGCAGAAGCACCACGCAGCCACTCGCTGCGAGGGAGTAAACCTGTCACTTCTGAGAAAGGTCTGAAGGGTGCTCTTCAAACTACTTGAAAAGCTTTCCTCGAGGCGAGCGTGGCCGTGATAGAGGACGGCTAGTGGGGGGTGGGAATACCTTAAGATTTGTATTGAGACTTCATAGCAAATAAACTGTCAGGCTGTAGCTAAAAAGTCTGGCTGCCATCCCCTGAGAGACCGGCAGAACGTGGATCATCAGGCAGCTTCAAAGGGCTGAAGAGGGATCGCGTCGAGCACACTAATTTGGCTCTCCAGCCTCCGATCGCAAAATAAACAAAGAGAAAATATGACTTTCTTTCCCACCTCAGCCTGCCAGGGCTTCGGTATGCCGGAGAGCACTGCATACATTGAGAGACGTCTCAAACAAAAGAAATGCAGGAGGAAATGTCAAGATGGTTTTATGATGTTGCGGAAAGTGAAGAATATTTGAAAGAGGCAAAGTGAAAGAGCGACCTTTCCTACAGTATGACTTTAAGGCTTGGCATCGAATCTGCAGACATTTGTTTCTGTAAAGGCAGGAGAATCCTCAAAACAATCTCACCAAACAAAAAAAAAAAAAAAAAGGTTTCTTGTCTGGAATTGCTCAAGTAGATTCCATCAGCCAGTAAATGCAAAACAAACTCTCCCCAAAGCCACGAGACTCCACTGACTAAACCAGTCATTTTACCTTGCAGGATACAGGAGTTACTGGTTCCTAATTCTGTGGGGTTCATTTGAGCTATTGTGTGAAATTGCTATTTTAAAAGTTTTTTATTGGATCCAACACAATACAAAAAAGTACAGACTATAAACTGATTATAATAGGACTAATAGGCCCAATATTCAAGTATCTGTATTGAGACAGAGTCGAGTTTAGTGTCAAATGAAAGGAAACTGAACATCATTTAGACTTGAACACACATTGGTGTAGGATGATTGACTGAGTTTTACCATAAGGATCCCTAGTCCAAACAAGTAGGAGAGGATTAAAGAGTTCAAGCAAAGTTGTTATTGATGTTTAGTTCATATATTATGATTTTGGTGATTTTGGTGTAGCGACTGACAATGGCACATCCAGTCATAAGGAAGTAAGACAGAGTTGGAAGGGAAGGTAAAGCTTGGAGCTTGACCTTCAATCAAGACAGCCTAAGGCCAAGATGTAGTGCAAAGCCTGGTAAGGAAATGAAAAAAAGTTGAACAAAAGATGTTTCAGAGCCTTATTGTCACCAGTTTACTGTCTTGTGTTACATTCTTTTAACTACACATGCAGGGCCACACACCATTAAAAACTAGAAACACTGAGCTTTTATCTTTACACTAGTAGCACACAGACACACAGGGCAGGCTGAGGCAGTTCAAATAAGAAGAAAATAAAGGAAAAGCTCAAAGGGAAGAAGGGAAGTGGGCTTCTGTATACATTTAAACTGTCAGCAGGCATTTTCTGAACTGAGCCCACAACTTTAAAATCCAATGGGAGAGAAAGCACGCCAGACAGGTGAAGTCGATTGCCTCCAGAGGCACAAAGAAACAGTCAGCAGTTAGTGGTTGCACTGGAGATCGGCTCAAAGATTGGTAAGGAAGGTCGTGGTTTCTTTTTCTCCACAGTCAAGGGGAGCCATCTCACTGTGTCATTTCTTCACCTTGCCACCAGCAGGACGGACCCACAGGAACCAACTGCCTCCAGCTCAGGACTTTCATCTGGTAGGACCCAGAGCTGGCTTATCTGTTACTGGACTGAAGCTCATTAAAAGATGGAGTGGAGCTCAGTCTCCTAAGCAGACGCCCAGGCTATATTCACTGGGACCAACAGCCAGCGAACATTGAAGGTCTGCATATGCTAATGTTAATTGGCCAGGAGTCTCTTAACTCAACATGGAGCCAGCAGCTGGAGTAGCAGCAGTGGTAGCAAGGTTAAACTTTGCTAACACTCAAGATAAAAAGAAAGAGCTCAAATTGCTCACGCCTTCATTCACCAAAGCTGAGCTCCGCAAGTTTCCAGTCAATGTAACCAATAACTCAAACATCATCATGCAGCTTCAAGAAGAAAAAACTGCTAAACTAATTTCCCCTTGGGAGGATACAGTTAAAGTATAGCTCATCTACAGTAGCTGCTGGTTCACACAGTGGTTTAGTGTGATGTATTGGTTTATGCTTGCCTGCAGTACAACATTGTATCAACTGCATTTAAAATCTTATACTACAAAATTAAGAAGCAATGTTAATCTAGATCTTATCCTCTGAGTAATATGTTCATAGATATTATTTGACCGTGTCCTATAGCCAGCAGGATAACTTCACCTAAAGATAATGTTGTGTAGTTCTTCCAATGGGATCTGTTCATCTTGTATACATTCTGCAATCCTGATTGAAGTCCTTGCTGTTGGCTCCTGTGTAATGTGTTGCTGCTGCCTCTTAATGTCCTGTGTAATTGAACTGCCAAATGGTCTGTATGTAGATAGACTCAACAGTTAAAGTGATTCACAACCAGGAAAATAGTGAGGACTCCTTGAACTTGCAGTGGTTTAATGCTTAGTTCATGGATTCAATCTGCCCAACAATCAGAGTATAGCTGGTCTTCTGTTCAATGACAAATCTATTAACCATGATGTTGCAAAGAGGAAGACAAAGTTATAAAACTCTGACATAAGCGATTTACTATTTCTCTGCTCTTGTCATTGCCTGCAGAGTTTATGACTTAACTAAACAGCCTTGATCCCTAACGATCATTACCTTGGCATCAAACACACCTCCTCTGCTATTTTCCCTCCCCTTTGCCCTCCACTCCGCTATCAAGCTAACCTCTGGCTCACCTCCCTCCCTCCCTCCCACTACTTCATCACGCTGTTGAGTCAGCAATCAGCTTTTCTCCTCACCCCTATGAGCCGACAGACTGTGTTCTCCGTTACTCACTTAAGACAGCTCTTTTTAGGACTGATGTTTCCAATGCTTCTTCTGCCACAAGATGAGAAAGGAATGATGGAGCTGAAACTGTTTCAGTGTCAATGTGAGGTCAATGACATAGACACTACAAGACACATCAATCCTAATAGAAGAGCAGAGGAATGAAGTTGCAATGTAAAAACTCAAGTTTTATATTGATAATAGATCATTTTAGTCTTTGATCATGAATATACAGAAACTATCTCTTCAATATTCAGTTTTGTTTCACTTTACATTTAAAGTTTCCAGAGCTGTTTTCAGTGGGTCGCAGAATGTGTGCTGGCAAAAAAAAACCCTGTCAAAAAGCTGATGCAGCAGCTTTTTTAACCTGTTATTTTGTTTCTTTTTTTTTTGTCATGTTTTGTGCTGTCTGAGGTCCAAACTGTAAAATGTTTCATTAACTCAACCAATCATCTTGGTTGAAATAACTGGGTAGTAGGTCCTGAGGCGGGACCATTTGAGAACCACTGTGTTGGACAATATCCTTTATGTCGATATAGTTTATGACGTGATAAAATAAAGTTATATAAATAA